TACCACATGACCCAGGAATTCCACTCCTGGATACATACCCCAAATAACTTAAAAACAGACATATGGCTGGGCGCAGTGGCACAGTAATCTCAGCACTTTGGGAGGCCAAGGTGGGTGGATAACCTGAGGTCAGGAGTTTGAGACCAGCCTGACTAACATGGTGAAACCCTGTCTCTACTAAATACAAAAAAAAAAATTAGCCAGACATAGACATGGTGGTGGGTGCCTCTAATTCCAGCTACTTGGGAGGCTGAGGCAGGAGAATCACTTGAACTTGGCAGAGGTTGCAGTGAGTCAAGATCACGCCACTGCACTCCAGCCTGGGCAACAAGAGTGAAACTCCATCTCAAAACAAACAAACAAAGATATAAGCTAATACTTGCATACAAATGTTTGTAGCAATACTAATTGCAATGGTGAAACTGTAACCCAAATGTCTTTCAATCAGTGAATGGATTTTTTTTTTTTTTTTTTTTTTTGACAGAGTCTTATTCTGTTGCCTAGGCTGGAGTGCAGTGGCGCCAACTCAGCTCACTGCAACCTCTGCCCCCAGGGTTCTAGCGATTCTCCTGCCTTAGCCTCCCGAGTAGCTGAGATTATAGGCACCTGTCACCATGCCCGGTTAATTTTTTTGTATTTCTAGTAGAGACGGGGTTTCGCCATGTTCGCCAGGCTGGTCTCGAACTCCTGACCTCAGGTGGATTTTTTTAAAGTGGTATACTCACACAATAGAGTATCACTCAGCCACAGAAAAAGGAAAAAAACCTGATACATGCTATAACATGGATACTGTATTTATATTTTGCTTGGTTGAGTCCAATGTTAAGTCTATCTAAAGTCCTTATTTTCACATATTTGCAGTGAAATAATTTCTTTTTTTTTTTGAGACAGAGTCTCACTCTGTCACCCAGGCTGGAGTGCAGTGGCACGATCTTGGCTCACTGCAACCTCCACCTCCTGGGGTCAAGCGATTCTCCTACTCAGCCTCCCGAGTGGCTGGGATTACAGGCACGCACTACCATGCCTGGCTAATTTTTGTATTTTTAGTAGAGACGGGGTTTCATCATGCTGGCCAGGCTGGTCTTGAACTCCTGACCTCATGATCCACCCGCCTCGGCCTCCCAAAGTGCTGGGATTAAAGGCATAAGCCACTGTGCCCAGTCTTGTATTTAATTTTTAAAATAGACTCAAATTCTCTTGTGAAATTCTTTTCTTTTCTTTTTTTTTTTTTGAGATAGACTTCTACTCTTCTTGCCCAGGCTGGAGTGCAATGGTGTGATCTTGGCTCACTGCAACCTCCACCTCCCAGGTTCAAGCGATTCTCAGGCCTCAGCCTCCCGAGTAGCTGGGATTACAGGCACCCGCCACAACACTCGAATAATTTTTGTATTTTCAGTAGAGACAAGGTTTTGCCATGTTGACCAGGCTGATCTCGAACTCCTGACCTCAGGTGACCCGCCCACCTCGGCCTCTCAAAGTGCTGGGATTACAGGCGTGAGCCACCGCGCCTGGATGAAATTCTTTATATAGTTATCTATTTTCTCCATATTTTCCTCGGATTTCTTTAACATATAAATCGTAGTTATCTCAGCCAATTCCAATATCTAAAGCATATGTGGATCCATTTCTATTGTCTTCTATTTTTTTCTCTTGGTTTTTGGTTTCTTTTGGTATTTAATAAATGTGACTAATCAATATGTACTAAATGGCAGACAATGTGTATTAAATAGGTATTATGTATAAAATGTACCTCCTAGAATATTATTTATTCAACAAATACTTAGTGAGCACTGACTAAGCACTGACAATATGCTAGGCACCATGCGCACGTGATACAGTAATAAAGAGAGCAGCATCCCTGCCATCAGAAGCTTGCACTCCAGTGTAGGAAGGAGGCATTTACCTAATACTAAAATGGCCTTTAAGGCCCTAAAAATCTAAGCTCCCTACTATACCATTATCTTTTTTTTTTTCCTTATCTCTAAATTGTCTCTCTCTTGATGATTCCAATCACATGCTTCCTTGGTGGTTATTCAGTATCAGGTACACTTCAATCTCAACCAACAATCTTGCACTTGTTATTCTTTCTGCCTAATATGCTTTGCTCTTCTCCAGGATAGCAACAAGACGTGTCCTGCCACTTCCTTAGATGGTCTGCTAAACATGCACTTGGCCCTCTATATCCTTGGGTTCTGTATCCACAGATTAAACCAACCACAGATGGAAAATACTCAGGGGAAAAAAAAAAAAAAAAAGAAAGGAAGAAAGGAAAGAAGGAAGGAAGGAAAGAAGGAAAAATAAAACTACTGCAAATTTTAAAACACAGTGGGACAACTATTTACATAGCATTTACATTGTATTAGGTATTATAAGTAATCTAGAGATGATTTAGAGTATACAGAAGGGCTGCGCGCAGTGGCTCACATCTGTAATCCCAGCACTTCGGGAGGCCAAGGAGAAGGACTGCTCGAGCCCAGGAGTTTGAGACCAGTCTGGGCAACACAGTGAAACCCCCATCTCTACAAAATATAAACAGTAGGCAGGTGTGGTGGCACACATCTATAGTCCCACCTATTCAAGCAGCTGACGTGGGAGGGAGGAGCACTTGAGCCCAGGAGGTTGAGGTTGCAGTGAGCCGTGACTGTGCCACCGCACTCTAGCCTGGGTAACAGAACAAGACCGTGTCTCAAATAATAATAATAATAATAATAAAATAAAAAAGAAAAGGTGGCAATTAATGCTATGAAAAAAAGTAAGATTGCCCAGGGCAAGTTAGCACAATAAAAAGAGGAAATGTCCTACTCAGGATCCAGAATAAAAACCCCCATTTAAGGAACAAAGATAGGAAGAACAATCGGGAGGAATCTAAGAAGGGGCATTCAAACAAGCCAAAAAACACAAAAACTAGAACTGAGTAATGTGCCAGAAGTGAATATCTAGAGGGAAGTATGGACTGACCAAGAGACTCAAATGCTGCTCAGAGATTGATCTAAGATCAGAATTCAAGCTTATATACTGGATTTAACAAAGGGAAGAGGTTGCTGGTAGCTTTGCAAGAGAAATTCAGTAGGAATGAGGAAAGAAGCTAGACGGCAAATTTAAAGATAAAGTGAAAGATACAGAAATGAAAGTGAGGAAGGGCAATTCTAAGAGCTTTGGCACTGAAAGGGAAGAGAGAAAGAAGGTGGCAACTAGCTGTGGAGTGAGAGGGGTGATGGTGCTTTATGAATGGAAGAAATGCTTGTTTCTTTCCCACTAAACTGTGAGCACTATGACGCGCAGATCACGTGTGTCTCATCACCACATCCTTCCCACACAACTGAGTGAACAATACATTTGTTCACTGAGCATTTTTAATAGCAATGATAACAGAAAGGAGCTAAAAGATGAGAATTTTAAGACACAGAAGAAAGAAAAGATAATCAGTAAAACCATAGTCTGTGAAGGCTATAAAGAATACATTTGGAAAATAGGAGGAGAAACTGGCTTTCCAGAGGATGTGGAACACCTCCTCCTTGTACCAAGGGGGAAGAAGTGACATGGATAAACGTAGATAAAAGTAAATACAGGTAAATATGGGCAAGAAGCTGAGGATATTTATTAACCAGGGGCCAAGTTTTCTAATTGTCCTCTAATGCATGAAATGATCTTGCACAATGAAGAACAGCCCAACACAGAATGCCAAAAGTAACAACAAGAAATGCTGAAATGAAGAGTTCCTGCAGGCTAACTCAAATCACAAGGTTAAAACTCTACATGAGGACTCTCCTCTAACCAGAAAAAAATAGAATAATTTTTTATGGGAAAAGGGGAAATTGCATACTTCAATTTCTGCATTTCTCCCTCAGAAGCCTTCAGTTGCAGAAGGCTCTTACTAAATGTTTGCAATATACAGTTACCTATAGCTATACCACTTTCACAGAAACATGATTCTAACTTACATATTATACACATGGAGAGAAGCTCAAGATAAAGATATATAGAGAAACTCATAATATTTAACACATGAAACACATACCACTATTAAATGCAATCCAGAGATCTGACAATACAATTTTTGATCACCAAGCTTTTTCCTATGAAAGTCTGAGTCACTGCTGAATCACTGAATACAATGCTCAAACGGTTTCTCACTCAAACTTATGCTATTTAAAATAATACAAGTTGGCCAGGCGCAATGGCTCACACCTGTAATCCCAATACTTCAGAAGGCCAAGGCGGGAGAATCACTTCAGCCCAGGAGTTTGAGACCAGCCTGGGCAACACAGTGAGACCCTCATCTCTACAAAATAAAAATAATTAGTCAGGTGTGGTGGTGTGTGCCTGCAGTACTAGCCACTTGGGAGGCTAAAGAAGGAGGGATTCTTGAGTCATGGCGAGAGGATCATTTGAGCCAAGGAGTTCAAGGTTACAGTGAGCTATGATTGCACCACTGCACTCCAGCCTAGGCAGAAGAGTGAGACCCCCATCTCTAAAAATAATAAAATAATCCAGTTAAAAACACTGATTTTTGGCCAGATGTGGTGGCTCACACCTGTAATCCCAGCACCCGGGAGGACGAGGCAGGCAGATCACCTGGGGTCAGGAGTTCAAGACCAGCCTGGCCAACATGGTGAAACCCTGTCTCTACTAAAAATACAAAAATTAGCTGGGCATGGTGGCAGGTGCCTGCAATCCCAGCTACTCCGGAGGTTGAAGCAGGAGAATCACTTGAACCCTGGAGGTGGAGGTTGCAGTGAACCGAGATTGCATCATTGCACTCCATCCTGGGTGACAAGAGCAAGCCTCCACCTCAAATAAATAAATAAATAAATAAATAAATAAATAAATAAATGTAAAAACACTGATTTTTTAAACATACATACATGTATGTATGTGTGTGTATATATATGTGTGTGTGTGTATAAATATATCCCAAAAAAGCAATAGTTACATTTTATCTTATACTTTTGACAAAATGCTTAAAGACATATACAATAAAAGTTAAAATAGCTTCTCACCTTGACTACTCCATCAAAGCCAGGGATTGTATTAACCTCTGCTTTCTTAGCTAATAATTTGCTTTCAATCTTGTCACCCATGGCTTGAATGGCATGTGTGTCAGGTCCAATGAAAATGACATCTTCTGCTGCCTGTGGAGAAAAACAAGTCAGAATTTATAACAAGAACATTACAGAGCATGATGTGGAGTCACAATTTATAAAAAGAAAAGCCCATATGTGTATTTTCTGACTATTTTTCCTGCAGAACAACAGTTTTTGAGCCAACACATTAAAATACTATATTGCATACAGTACATGTGTGGATAGATGCATGCAACAAAGTCAAATGAAAACAACGGACAGCACTGAAGAACTCCTGCTCGGTATAAACAGCGCACCTCCGAAAAGCCACTCTATGACACTGTATTTGTATATAACGTCCTACGCCACCTAATCTAGCCAGTAAGGTCACCCCTAAACACCTTATAAATCTCTGTGTTTTCAACAGACTGCAGCATAGTGCCTAGTATAACACAAATATCCATATTTACTGAATACCAACTCTGCGCCAGGCTCTGAGCTAAACATAGGAGATAACATGGATGAAGATAACAGGATATCAATAATTTCCAGGAAACGTGAACAGATCACTGACACCTCAGAGAAACAGATTAAAAAAAAGTACAATATGTTTACATCCTTGTGACTACAAAAGATGAGTCAAGAATCCAGCGGTAATTTAACTGGGTAGAGTTCCAGTTTCAATCAAAACCACTCTGCACAAACCACACTGAGTACCTTGACAATGGATCTACCTCTCTGTTCACGCCACTCTAATAAAAAAAATGCTAATGACTTAAATAGATCTAGAGACAAAACAAAATATGATGCCATTAGCTCCACCACAGGGCATGGTCTAGAAAAGTAATGGGGGTGTTTGCTGAGATAAAGGATGAAGTCATTTCATAAAGAACTGAAGGTAAATATAAAATGGGAAAAAGTAGACCTACATGCAGGCCTTCCTCGAGGAAGGCGCCTAACTGCTGATTGCCCTACGACCTTTGTCAGAGTTGGTATAAACAATAAATCGCATATTTATATATCACTTTTATGTCACATGTTCATTCCACGTTAGCATTGCTACCTGCAAAGAATCCTGACTTGGGAAAAAAGGTTCATTCTCCTGGTGACCAGGGCAGCTGAGTAGCCTGGTGCTTGGAGTGCTCTCCTGGCCATCGTGACCAGGAGGATTAACCCCATCCTGAGCAGCAAGTGGAAGTTGAACAAGGAATAAACACAAGGAATATACAAGGAGATAAATATTTAGGAGGTGAGATGATGACTCCAACTTTGCACACGCTAAGCTGAGGTGCCTCACAATAGTCAAGTACTCATGTTAAGGAGGCAGATAGAGAGGTATAGAAGTGATCAGACAAGTCCAGCCTGAAATACAGATTTTATCTTTTTTGAGACAGAGTCTCACTCTGTCTCAGGCTGGAGTGCAATGGCACAATCTTGGCTCACTGCAACCTCCATCTCCGGGGTTCAAGCGATTCTCCTGCCTCAGCCTCCCAAGTAGCTGGGACTACAGGCACACGCCACCACGTCCAGCTAATTTTTATACTTTTAGTAGAGACGGGGTTTTACCATATTGGCCAGGATGATCTCAACCTCTTGACCTCATGATGTGCCCACCTCGGCCTTCCAAAGTGCTAGGATTACAGGCATGAGCCACTGCGCTCAGCCAAACTACAGATTTTTAAAGGCATCAAATACAGGATGGAATTAAAAATTGTGAATGGCAGTCCAGGTGCGGTGGCTCACGCCTGTAATCCCAACACTTTGGGAGGCTAAGGAGGACGGATCACGAGGTCAGGAGATCGAGACCATCCTGACCAACATGGTGAAACCCCATCTCTACTAAAAATACAAAAAATTAGCTGGGTGTAGTGGCACGCACCTGTAATCCCAGTTACTGGGGAGGCTGAGGCAGGAGAATTGCTTGAACCCGAGAGTCAGAAGTTGCTGTGGGCCGAGATGGAGCCACTGCACTCCAGCCTGGGGACAGAGCGAGACTCCATCTCAAAAAATATATATAAAAATAAAAGTTGTGAATGAAATCATTCAGAGAAAATGAGTAGTAAAGCCAATGCCTTTAAATTCAAGAGGTATGCTTCTCTCCTACCCAAAAGCAAAACAAAAGAAAAGGGAATTTTTAGACCCTGAGTCTAAAGCATCCATTTCTTTGAGTGACAATGTGGATAATATCTGACTTTTAAGTTTGATTAAATAATTAAACAATGTACAGGAGGAAAACTATTATTTTCCTTCTACCTTTCTAAGTTTATGGCTGGGGCACCTATTACAAAAGATAGATTAACCAAAAAAAAAAAGTATACACATTTACTTAATATAAGTTGTACGTGACACAGGAGCCTGCGTAAGGAAATGAAAATCCAAAGAAACAGTTAAACTTGAGTGTTTTTATACAAGGCTGATGAAGACTAGAGAGCTAAGGAGAAATGATAGCACAGAGCGCAAGAGGTAAGTGTCATAAACTGGGGAAAATGACTCAGATTCCTCTGCATCCTCTTCTCTTTGGGAATGAGGATGCTCCTAACCCTGTCTCTACTAAAAATACAAAAATCAGCTGGGCAGGGTGATGCGTGCCTGTAATCCCAGCTACTCTGGAGGTTGAGGCAGGAGAATCGCTTGAACCTGGGAAGTGAACGTTGCAGTGAGCCAAGACTGCACCACTGCACTCCAGCCTGGGCAACAGAGTGAGACTCTTTCTCCAGAAAAAAAAAAAAAAAAAAAAGAGGACACTAGACTAATAAAATAGCTAGGTCCACAGGACTCTAAAATAGTATTTTAGGAACCCAAATGCCTAAAATTTGCTGGTGTTACAAGTGGCAGGATGCTGGATAAGAAACCCCTTCAGCCATAAGAGATGCTTATAAAGTATCTCTCTATCAAATGTTTTTGTATTTGGTTTTAGTAGAACCTTATTTTCATGGGAAAAAAAATCTTATGCAAATCCCCAAAAATGTAAAGCACGTAGGAAGTAGCGCTGCTCTGTATGAGGAGATAATAGTGGTAAGCCTACACCTCTATCAACTCTATGTCTCCAGGTGGATACATGAATCACTTCGGACCAGGACAATAATCATATTCATTTCTCTTTATCCAAAACCTGAAACCCGCTGAACACTAAGTAAAGGCAAGAGGAAACAATCATGCTTCAACCATCAGTTGTCTTTCCGTACTCTCATTTTACTTGCAAATATGGAAAATTTTATTATAATGCTGCTTTAAAAACGACTATGCCAGGTAGATGTAATCAAGCAATCAGAGTACCCACACAAAGAATTGAAGAAATAACATAAATGAGAACATCCAAAATACATTATGATTATACAGTAAAACTTCTGATTAACAGGAGCCCAACGACCTGGAACACTGATTAACCAGATTTTTCTTGTGCATTCTAATTTGAGGAAAATTACTCACCCAAAAATACAAAACTATCAAAAAAAAAAAAAAGCTTACATCAAGTATTTAGTGACTATTTTTTGTCCCACCCAATAGAAAAGAAAAATAGCCAGTAGTATGCTGGATAACAAATGTTTCAATGACTTAACTTTCTTTTTATCAATGTGTTTTTGGAAGTGCTCCCTAGGTCGGCCTTTAAAAGTAATTAAAGCAAAGTGAGAGAGCAACATTAGAGGCTCTTGGCTCCCATAAATCTGTGACCAAAAAGGATGAGGTCAAGATAAGAGAATATGGCAACTGCAGTGGGATGCAGCATGTTTCAAACGCTTTCAGTTCTTGACCAGATAGTGGTGTGATGTAGAATAAAAAGCCAGATTATATCCACTAGTAACCTTCGATACTCTTCTGTTAACCTGGTATTTTTTGTTATCCATCTAATTATCAGCTTCCCTTAATCACTGCAAGTTTTCTGTTATGCAATAGTAACTAAATTTGTTTCCAAAAATATGCTTTTCAAGGTCCTTTTAAATTTACCTTGCATGATGCATGTAATATCTGAATGCAAACAAATGTCTTATGACCACAAAATGTGGGCATTTTTCATCATTAAAGTGATTCATTAAAAAAAAATAATTAGGAGCCAAGTGTGCCTGTAGTCCCAGGTACTTAGGAGGCTGAGCCAGGAGTATCTCTTGAGCCCACTGTTCACAGTTGTTGTGCGCTACGATGGCACCTATGAACAGCCACTACACTCCAGTATGGGCGACATGGCAAGACAAAGGAAAAGAAAGAAATTATGAAAAGCTGAAATCACTGCTCCAAAATTCTATTCATTTCCTAAATTCTGTGACTTTATGGTTCTGGAAAAATTTTAATAGAAAAATGGGGAAAAGAGTCGGGTTTGAGCAGTATGTTAAGGAAATGAGATTTAATTTACAACAGACTTTATGTCAGGAATGAAGGACAGAAAGAATCATTGTAAAAATTACAATGTATGATACATATTTCATTCTTAGAAATATCACAAGTTAGTAAATTGCTAATTATGAATTCAGATTTTAAAGTGTATACATTTTAGGTTCACCCAGAGTTGCTACTTGGGTAACTACAAAACCAGGGTCAGAAGTAAAAGACAGCCACGGGGCCAGGCGTAGTGGGTCACGCCTGTGATCTCAGCACTTTGGGAGGCCAAGGCAGGTGAGCTACATGAGCTCAGGAGTTTGAAACCAGGCTGAGCAACATGGCGAAAACTTTTCTCTACAAAAAACATAAAAATTAGCCAGTCATCGTGGTGTATACCTATGGTCCCATGTGGTCCCAACTACTCAGGAAGCAAATACATGACTCTTTAGAAAGCAATGTAGAGAAAAACTAATTTTATACATTAAACTAAGCAAAATAAAAGTATCAACGTAAAATCCAACGCAATTTTTTTTGTTTTTTGTCTTGATACAAAGTCTCGCTCTGGACTGCAGCAGGGAGATCCTGGCTCACTGCAACCTCCACCTCTGAGGTTCAAGCAATTCTCCTGCCTCAGCCTCCCAAGTAGCTGGGACTACAGGTGCCCCCCACCATGCCCAGGTGATACGGTTTTGTATTTTTTGTAGAGACAGGGTTTCACCATGTCAGACGAGCTGGTCTCGAAATCCTGACCCCAA